GACAGGCGGGCGGCTTCCTCCCGTCGATTCGATGGTCACCTCACCCTTCATTTTCAGTTTCGGGCACTGGGCGCTCATTCAGATCCCTCACTGTGAGTGAACTGGGTCGTTGTGAGTGGAGTCCATCAAGTGAGCCGGGGCACTACACTACACGAAATCAGTGCTGAATGAGACGAAGCGATGGTTTACATTGCTCATTTGGTAGCATACGGCATATCGCTCTCGGATTTCAACTAGCGAGCCTGGACTACTCCGAAATACTGGACAATAAGGAACATGGCAATCTCCCCAAAGGTCAAGTTTTTATTTTTATTTTTTTATTGTTTGATTGGGAATGCAAGGTTCCAAGGTTTCCACCTCGGGTTCTTTGGGAGGGAGAATACTCGACCTTACAAGGCTTCAATCAGGTGGGCTGCGGCACGTGGCCACTGTAGGGAACGCCAGCGCTGTCCACCTCACTGTGTACCACAGTACCTACGTTAAGGGCCAATTCCCGTCCTCTGCCCAGATCGTGTCCAAGGTAAGGTAATCCGTACGGCAAGGTCCCATCTACATACCGGTACTGCTCTGGTTCCGACTTGCACCCCATCACAATTCTCCCCTTCCTCCTCCTTCCAACTGTCTTGGACGCTCTTTCCACGCTGCGCTTGCCGTCTATGGCCAGTGCGAGCAAGTGGGAGGAAACGCTGCTTCCTCATGACCTGGCCAGAGCACATTCCTTCCCTCTCAGATATCCAATCCTCGCCTTCCTCTGAAAGAAAGTTCGGGACGGCGACGCATCGGCGCGGTCCATAATTGGGCCGAGAGATGGCAGGTTGGCGCCTTGAAGCCTTAGCTTCTTGGCCTTGGTGCCTGGAAGTGGGAGCCTGGGAATATGTGAAGCCGAAAAAAAACCTATCCCGACGTCAGTCCAGTCGGGTTCGGACCTAGGTCCGGGCCCTCTGTCCCATCAACACACTTCCCCATTGCATGCGATTCGCTTGCCAGTCCATTACCTTTTGTTTCATCACTTGGCAGAGAAGCGTCCATCATCATCATCACCTGTCAACATCCAGCTCAGCCAGCAGCCGATCCTGTATCTGTACACATGCCCATGGCTGCCATTTGGAATATCAGCGTGCTGCAACGTACCGTACCACAAGCACAAGCACAAGCAATAGCTTTAGAGAGCTCTGAGAATCTCTGAGCAGCCGCAGGCAGCTTCGAAGCTTTGGCCGTCTCATTGATCGATCCCCTCTTCGAATCTCATTTGAAAAAAGGGCGACACTAGGAACCTTGGAAAGTGACAAGAGATCCATACAGATACGTATACCTGCCGCCATCCTTGCGAATCACCCAGCGACATCCCCTGGTCACGGACATCTGACATTCGAAATGTGCCGCCCCGGTACGGATACTTCGCCCATCCATCAAGCTCATGCTGCTGCCAACCTCACCAGGACAGGGTGCTCTGAGGGATCACACGGGCTACACTTGTGCTCGAGCTTCCGGCGCCGAATCCTTGACGCTACCCAGCGCCAGTTGTCTCCCCCTCTTCCAGTCTTTCTCCACATCCTGTTCGTCGGCTTGCTCACGAACGAACCCTTGCCCTGCTCGACTGGATGCCTCCATATCTTGGGGTCGTTACGGAGTACAGTGACCAAAGTCGCTGTCGTCGAGGGTCCTCCAGGGGTTGTCGACGAGAGTCACCGCCAGCTTCGTGACATCGCTAAGAGGAGGATGGATCAAGGATGGGTGGAAAGGAATGAAGGCACCAAGAGACAGAGCACAGTTTCCATCTCACGCCACTACCTGGCATCCACCCGACAATCAAGACGTTGCTTCTGTCACGTTCTTCATCGACGACGTCGTGGGATCCGTAATTGCTTGGCCACATTGCCGCTTTTGTTTCTCGACCAATCTTGCGTCCTCGATCCGATCATTGCCGGTCTTCACGCAAACTGGCACAGCCTGATGCAACCGCTCTACATCTTATCGAGATGGTACCGGGTGTTATCAACAGACCTTTAGTCGAAGCACATCCCGATCCCCTTATATCATGCTTCAGCTTGTCGCTGCTATCACTGCATCGGGTCAACACTGCGCGCAATTCAGCGCAGCTCCAAGAGCGACTGGCAAAGCTAACGCTGATGCCGACGCTATCGTTACTGGTGACTGGAAAGTGTTCCGCTGCAGTCCCCCAGTCATCACCGATCATGATCCCAGCGAGCCCCCCCTGCCCAGCCGCAGGACCCCTTCAACAGCCAATCTGCGATCCAGCCGTGACAGCGGGCCAATTATCGTGGGGCGCCTTCCCTGCGGTGCAAAAAGTCGTACCATTTTCCCTTCGTCATCAGATATTGGCACGTCCATACTCGACTGGAAGGCACTTGTTCGCAGTCGAGACTTCGGGTGGGTGCTGAGAGCCTGGAACTCTTCAGAAATCCAGTGTTCCCAATGAGGAGTTGGACGACTGTGCGTCCTAAACTCTGAATAGGCTGAAGCTGAGTCCAGGCACCTGTGCCTGGGGAGCCCTTAGCCGATCTTTGTGCTCGCCGCACGGCGCTATGAGAGCTTCCTGACGCCTCTCGGAGTATTGTCTCCAACGTTTGATGCCAAGCCAGTCTGCATCTGTCGCAACCAACTGAGGGCACCAGTTCATGGCCTACATATAGATACTCTCGTCTCGTACCACGTTGTCCTGAGGATAGTGGCTCAAGTCGCCTATGCTCACTGAGACCGCACGGAACGGAACAAATCCCAAGAGGTGAAGCTCCGAATGCAGGCCACCTGCACATCAGTCAATCAATCGAACTTCTGTCGCCGCCAATCTGGGTGCTAAAACTTTCCCCCTTCCTCTCACCCCGGCCCGTCGACTGGATGGATACCTTGACAATACGATGCGTTACCTGGCTCCCCCGGGCCCCCTGTCTGCTCTGACCGGTACATGCACACGCATCTCCCTCTGGCCCCAGGCGGTTCAGTCCAACACACCGCACATCTGGTCCCCCGGGCATCGATTCCATGCCCTCTTCCCCCCCACAACCCCAAGAACACTTACTACGTAGGGAAGGGATCTGGTCCATCAGGAGCAAAGGGAACATGGACGTTCCGCCGTTGAGGCACTGTACCAAAAGCCTCCTGTGATCCCCCCCTGTTGCCGCGCAGGTACCTCTGTACTTTATCATAAATGTATGCGAAATATACGTCCACTCAGAAATCACACCCAGCCCTGGGTGCCAGTCCGTCGCTGGTCTCATAATACCTCTGTCATTTCCTCCCATGATTCTCACAATTGCGTTTCCTCTCTCCCTCTTCTTCCCTTTTCTTCCTGCTCCTCTTTATCACACACAACCATCAAAATCCCCTTTCTCAGGACACATCAAGAGACTTGGAACTCCCTTCATCGCATCAAGTCTAACCGCTCCAACCCACATTTCTTGTGCCAAACTCTCAAGGCACAATTCGGCAGACACCAGCCCGTGATAGACCCTCCCGCGCTTAGACAGGCGATCTCTCATCACATTTTATCCGCCGACTCATCTGGTTCAACTTGCCGGACGACGATAGAGGCACAAGCGCCGCCATATGAGCCACGGCTTCTGTTCGACGTACGAATACACATTCTGTGTCTCTTCAGCACTTTGTTGAAGGGCGCCCGCTTCACCAGGCACTAGACCGGCACCACAAAGCATCGGCATCGAAAAGAAACTCAGAACTTCCCACCGGTCCAGGTTCACGGTATCTTCGCCAGCCCACGCCCCTCCTCGAGTCTCACTCCCAGACCCAGTTGAAATTAGCCCACTCGGACTAGTCTCGACGAGGGATTCTAACAGTGTGTCTTGGAAGAAATATCCAAAAAGCCGCCACAAAGAGCAGCGTGGTAACTTGACCAACGCTAGGCGGCTTTTCTTTCTCAGCTCCGGATCTTTCGACACACCCAACTGGAGCCAGCATCACCCCCGATCCATCGCCCCCCCCCCCCTCCTCCTCTCCCACCCCTTTTTCAACACACACCCCCCCAAGCCGAAGCCCAAGAGAAAGATACATGCGGTGACCTTCCCGCTCCCGCCACCACGCACACCACACACGCCAGATAGCTTGATCAGATCTTGCCTACCGGGTACCTAGCTGGAAAGAGAGAGAGAGAGAGAGAGAGAGAGAGGTTCGACTAACCTAACCTAACTTCGTCTTCTCGTCCCAGGCCAAGCCACACCACACCACACCATACCTTACCACCACACACTCTGCCTTTGGTTGGTTTGGTTTCTCTCGCCCATCTTTCACTCTTGCACTCTCTCACTCGTCTCTGTAACCCTTCTTCCCTGCCCGATTTTTATTCTTACATGACTCTGAGCCTCCCACCTTGGACCATCTCTCCTATCATCTCCACCCATCTACACCAAACTTCACCGGACTCCCGTCTTGACACCGACCTCACGGACTAAGGCTCGCTCTCGTCCCCTCACGCTTTGGTCGAGTCAGATGCACAGAGACCTACATCCGCATCTGGGGTTTTAATCACCATTCATCTGTTCTCCCGGCAAACCCGCTATGGAAGCGGGCGGATCTGGTACTAGGCAAAGGTAGGTTCGATTCTCATCGACACCCACACACCCCCCTCTGGCCTTGATTTGTTTCCCACGTCCTGCCCCTAGACCAAGTATTAATCAGACCTTTTAAACAGCCGTCCACCTTCTGCCAGCAACCCTGATCGCTTTGAACCTCGTCATCTCCCACCCAGAGAGCCTCTCGATAATAGACACTACCGCGACGGCCCCGCCATGGCGACCGCAGCCCTTATTAGCCCGAGCTCCCATTACGGTCATCCCTCGTCCTTCTCTTCCGGCTATCAACACCACCCAGCTCCAGGACCAAGCATCGCAGGCATGATTTCGCCGATTGAACCTCGACGACCATCAGATGAGTCGGAGACTCCTCACCGACAGTCGCTCCCTTCGCTCTCAGAGGTCATCTCTGGTGCGAAGCCCAGTCCTTACCCCCCTTCCCAAGGCTCAAGCATGTCGGGATCTCAAAGCTTTCCCTCGCCCTTTGCTCCTGGACCTCCCAGGTCCTACGCCGAGTCGACGGAGAAGAACTCGCCCCGACCTCCTGTTCCTGCTTCGACTTTCCCGCCGAGGCAAGATGCTCTCCCGGCCATTTCAGATCCCCCGAGACCTCCTGCGTTCGTAGGCCGACCGCCTGCGCCATTGAGCGGTTTCTCTGGACCTCAGCCCAGCCCTCCTCTCAAACATGAGCATATGCGCGATATGCGCGAGAGCGATGCGCGTGCCGCCGAGAACTCTGCCTCATACGCTCAACATTCCATTCCACCCCCGCCGACGATATATCCGCATCCCCAGCATCCGGGCCAGCTTCCTCCAGGACAAGTACCGCTGCCTGGATATCCAGTCTCTCCGCGTCACGCTGGCCCACCTCCCCCCTTCCCCTACGAGGCCCAGCGTCCGACAGCTCACAGAGAGGACCCTGAGTATGGCCCTGCACGGGTCAGGACACATCTCGACGCGTGGGGGTACCAGGATTGCTTTTCTAGAGTGAGTGGCCCCGCTCAAAACTTTCGTCCGTCAAGCTTACCAATAAGTTCACTCAGATTGGTTCAGCAACAAGAACGATCTTTAACTTCGCCGAGGCCTATGGCAAGATTGCTGCGGAACAACAGGGCGCTCATCATCCGTTACACGACCGACTTCCTACCGAGATGGAATTGAACGAAATGATTGACAACGTGGAGTACATTCGAAACTCGCTGGACTCGGTGCGACAGGTTGTCAAGGAGAGCAACGAACGTGTACGGGCGGCCGGAAAACAGAAGGGATATGACGATGAGGACACGCCCATGTACGACGGCATGAATAAGCAATATGGCATCACCGAAGTCAAGAAGCGCAGAGGGGTAAGTCTTGTCGATCGTGCGCTTGCTCTATTGGAGAATCAGAGTGTTAACCAGGTGGAATAGAGAGCTGCACCTCCTGGAAGATGCCACAGCTGCAACCGAATCGACACCCCGGAATGGCGCCGAGGCCCCGATGGTGCCCGAACACTCTGCAACGCATGTGGGCTGCATTACGCCAAATTGGAGCGAAAGCGTCAATTAGAGGCTCGACAAATCCGACCCAAGCCCTCTGATGAGAGGAGCTGAAAACGCCTTGATCCATCAAAGGAATCAGAGATACACACCGTACATACATGGACGAGCTCAAACTCCATCGGCCGATCTACAACCAGTTTGACACGACGTTCGGCCTAGTCCGCGCCATTACACAAACACACACACACACACACACACACACACACACACATATACACACATAACAGATACCCCCCCTTACTGCCTAACGGCTTATTATCCATCCAGCAGCGCCTGCACTGCGTTATCTTCATGCTCTAGCAACAAAATGGCTACACCTACTTTACCTCAACTTTTCTTTTTCAATACCCGGCATCGACTTCATCTTGATTGTATATATCCTGCTCTTCAACATATTCATCGGACGGGCACCAAGGGACCAGGCATTCATCCGGCGGCGTTTATTACATTTTGATCTCGACACTTTCCTTATCTTGTTTCGTTCACATCCTGCAAAGGGAAGCGGAATTCCGGCTTTTTAGACAAAATGAGGCGTCACCCAAATTGAACGCCACAAGACACGCCTTTGGAGCGAGCAACCGCAGACCGACAGTCGATCGTTACCAAAGCAAACAACGTCTTACTTTTTCGTTCAATATTTTTCCTTGGCTGCGACTGGCAGAAGAGAGGGAGTTTCCCGGCGAGGAACAAGCAGAAAAAAGCACACGTCGGGAAGGCGTGAAGCGTTTCGATCAGTCCTCTTAGGGGGGGAAAGAGAAGTAGACGACGATATCGGAGTCGTATTTCTTGCGAGAAACAAAAACGGGCGACTTTTTCACTTATTCTACTTCGACTTGGGCGCAAGGCCGTGCACACTTGGCATTTTACCATTGTTATCACACAACTTCCTGGGAAATCGGGATGGGGGGTTGGATTCCCCTTTGATGCCACGGACCATGCGAGGGCACACAACAACAACAACAACAACAACAACACAGTTTTAGCTGATTTTTAATTGTACGAGTAGCCATACAAGGCGAAATACCACGGGAGGAGGCGGCGGCTAGGAGTGGCGGAAAAGGAGGCTAGGAGGGCGGCTTATTTGTACCTACCCTACCCTTTCAAAGCAGGACTCGAGAAATCTGATGAATAACCGAGACTTGAAGTTTCACAAACTTATCTTGTTGCCACCATTTTCGCTCACAATGTGAAATTCTATAACATGAATGATATGATTATGTGCCAGGAGGCGACTAGACGGGAAGTGGAGGGAGATCTGAATCATTCATCATCGTACGCCGTATCTCAGGGTTTGTAAGAGGTAGAGTAATTACTTCTTCACTCGTGACAAATCCCCCCCCCCCCCCCTAGTCCTACCACCGACTGAATGACATGCAAAGTCGCGAGTTACGGATACTCGGTGAGCAGATGAATGGGTACGCAGCAGTCGAAAGGGAAGGGGGCCTGTTTGGACCAGGGGAGGGGGTTAGTGGATGCAAGTTTGCTTCTTTCGCCCTTTTCTCGATCTCGGAAGCGTGATAAGCGGGAGCGGGAATCTCGGGGAGAAAAATCAAAGAGTGTTTAATTTTTTTCCTTACCCTTGGGCGGTAATGTTTGATGTGAGAAGTGACCAGAACAGACAGTCAAACGTCAGGGCCTCCCGTCCCACGTGGTGTGTGTATGTGTGTGTGTGTGTGTGTCCGCCGAGTACCATTAGCTACCTTACCTTACCTACTTTGCCTGCCACTGCCTACCTATCCGTACACTCAGCTTTACCTCTGGACCCCCCCCCCCCGAGCAACGCCACAAACAGACGTCGTTTCCGGTCCTGGGGCGGCAAGTCAGGCAAGGTCTGGATGGTGGATGGCGGATGGGCTGTGGCTGGCTGGGGAAGGGAAATTCTTCATGAAAAGCTGGGAACCTTTTTTTTGTATTGTCCATTCTTCGGTACTTGATCTCTGCCCCCCTTTGTTGATCTCCAGACCGCTCTCTTTACTCCTCACAGATCGACTGCCGAGAGGTCGGTTTCTTTCAGACGTGAACAGGGGACCCTACCTATTCCACCGCCGTCGGGGTGGCCTCAGATGAGGGAAGCATCAGATCGAAAAAAAAAAAAAAAGAAAAAAAAAAAAGGTACAAGGTGGATTTTCCGATATCCTTCAGTCAAGAAAGAAGTCGGGGATGGGATGGGATATTAGATGGCCGGCTCAACCGGGACACAGATCGATCAAACTCTTTTTTTCTTCTTCTCTTCGCAAACTTGGCATTCTTTTATTGACAAAAGGTACTACCGTACCGCGGACTCTCCTGTAAATGATGTAAGGAATGTCCCTGTAGACACGATGTGTGGATGCGTTGTATGCAGATTTAGAAAATGGGCGACATTGCGCCTATTGTTGTTCGCAGCGGGAAAGAGGGATGGACCTTGAGAGTTCAGATTTCCCCCGGAAAGGCCCAGAGATTCGAGTGCCGTGGTAGAGGGTACGGATACCAGGTACGTATTGTGTGTGTGTGTATTATGGAGTGAGATCAAAAGAGAAGTCGATCGATAGAGAAGAAGAATTACAAGGCCCCTCCCTGTTTGCGTGAGGGTTTCCAAGGAACGGGGTGTGTGGGTAAGTAGATGGATGGGTGTGAGTGTGTGAGTGCGTGTGGTTTGGATACCGGGTCGTTGCCGCGCGGTTCTCGGGAGCCGATGAGATTCCTCTCCAGATTTCTATTGCTTTATGTATACATACACACTGCAGACCAGGTGAGATACCCAAAATTCTTTGGATCAACTTCTTGGTTTAAGATGACGCGTGAGATGGAAAGGATAAAAAAAGAGGTCATGGTCCAGGGTAATCTCGCAAACGTGTGCCAGAAACGGGGAGAGTTGGAGAAGCTGATGGGGAACGGAACGGATCTGAATCTCGACAGGGTAAATCGGAAGGCAAGCAAGAAAGAAGAAAAAGTGTCACTTGTCATGGTTTCTGATCTGATCTGATGTATGTGCGACCCAAGGAAAACTTGGGTGCTTGGCAAACCCACGCCGCATCAGACTTGGGTTTGACATGATGTGATGTCTTTTTTTGCCCTCTTCAAAGACTTCACATCTGCCCCACCACCCCTCATCCATTCATCGGCTTTATGCCTTGGGTTCTCCCCCGATGTTGCACGAGATACGCAAAGACACTTGTATAGAAGGTATCGGTAAGTGAGTGGGTTGATACCTGCTCACCTAGCTCGTCTGGTCATCAGCAGTCCGAGAAGAGAACCAACTTCGAGACATAATCCACGCCCCTCCTCACCAGGGGGCCGGGATGTAAGCGCTGGGCAGGCACGGATACAATGTAAGGAGAAAGAGCTTGGTCAGAGAGAATCATATCATGTAGATTTCCATGCTGGGGTGCGTATTCAAAGAGCTCTAATTGGATAGGCTCCGCGAGGCGGAAAGGGCAAAGCCGGTAAGGCACTCGTAAGGCGACCGCATATCTAAATTTCGTTCGGGAGTAAAAGGCAGGAAAACACAAACCGACGCATCTCAGAATTTCTCTGGTGACACAAACGGGAAATTGGGGAAGAGGGGAGAAGGGGGCTGACGGAGGTAAGCAGGGCGTGTCCATCTATCCGTACATGCACTATCGCGATGTATAACGACGTAGTATCTATCTATATGGATGGCAGATATACCGTGCAGTCGCGCCGTCCGCCGATTCCGCCGCGTGCAACGTGGGCAAGGTTAGGCTGTCTGGTAGGGTACGATATACCCGTATTTATGGGGTTTAAGAAGAGAAGTCCATATTCCGTTCACAACAGACAGAGAGAGAGGGAAGAGAACGTGTGGCTAGAGAGCGACGTAACAATAGCTGTACACTCTGTGCTTGGGTAGCGTGAAAGAGGGGGGGCCCTAGATCGCAGAGACGGGTAGTCTGCTTGTTCATATCGGTGTTTGTGGGACGTTGTACGCGGATGGGTGACTAAAGGAAGGGTAAACTTGCCTTCTCGTTGCTTGTTCTCTGTGCCACGGCCATCCCCTCGTGCCATGTCAGATCCCCTTCTCCCCTCTCATCCAGTCCCGTACAAGAATTAGATTTCGGTGTCTTTCCCGCGCCGTTTCCTCACCCTTGCCGATTCGACGGGAGAAAAAAAGGGGTACACAAAATAGTCTGGGGTGGGCTTGTTGGTGTCACTAAAAGTCGCAACCTCAGCATTACACATGACACAAGGACTCACCACCACCACCAGCAGCAGGCAGAGAAGAGTCAGAAGGGCCAGGTTGCTGTAATTTAGCCATTTAACAATGCATTCGGCCGTAGCTAACCTTCGCGGAGCAAGCTTGACCTGACACTGGGCCTGCTTTGTCGGTGCTGTACGTGCCGCCGTACGGTACGGTGTGTCGTCGTACAAAGTAGCATTACCGACAGCTTTCTGATGTCCAGGATAAGAGTGCGAGCAATGCGAGCAATGCCAATGCAAGTGCGGGTTGGGGTGGGAGGGGTGGAGGTGTGCATCTTACCGTGGTCGCCGTAAGGTAAAGCATGGATGAGAGGGGGTGTGGCAGCAACAAACTGACAGACAAGCGCCCCCCCCCCCCCGTAAATCACCCATTCGACTTTTAAGGATTGGTTGTTTCTCTTGACCTCAACCCACGGTGAGGTACACCGTACGCCTCCTTTGCCTCTCTACAGCTACAGAGGCGTCTTCTTTTGCTGTCCCTCTACCCTTTTTTTTTTTTTTTTTTTTTTTTTTTTTTTTTTTCGGGGGCAGGCGGCGTGCGGGCGGCGGTGGCTTTTTCAATTCGCGATGCGCGCCGCTGCTTACCTTGTGGCATGTGAGCTGTCGCAACTGGTGATGTGTTCGTTGCGCCGATCTTCCTGTTTTTCCCCTCTAATTCCCTTCCCCTTTCG